CCATCTATAAATTGGTTGTTATTGAAGGATTTGTGAATTGCTTGTTAGTATAGGTTTTTATACGTGCAACAAGTTACTGACGTGTAGCACATTCTATGACGTGCAGCTGCACGAATGCCTTGGGTCGGCTCTTGTTGCAATGGGACCTGAAACTTTGTTATCTTTCATACCTCTGAATTTGGAAGTTGAAGACTTATCTGATGCAAATATTTGGCTTTTTCCAATATTAAAACAATATATTGTTGGTGCACATTTAGACTATTTTACTAAAGAAATTTTGACCATGATTGAACGTGTTAGAGGCAAGGCTCGAAAGGTACAGAACATTTTATTATTGATGAGGTGCAGTTTTAGTCTTTGCAAAATATTCATTTATTACTTGATACATTTTGCAGTTTGAGATGCAAGGACTGATGGTGTCATCAAGGAATGCAGATGCACTTGCTTATTCACTGTGGTCATTGCTGCCTTCATTTTGTAACTATCCTGTGGACACTTCTGAAAGTTTCATGCTTTTGAAGGAACATTTATGTAAAAAGTTAAAGGAAGAATCTGACGTTCGTGGAATAATATGCACTGGTTTGCAGCTTTTGATTAAACAAAACAAGGATATTTTGGATGCAAATGAGAAGGATTCTATTGAGAACGATATGGTCAAAGAGCAAGATTTGATCCGTTATTCACAACAGGTTGCAACTGACAATATGAGTGTGCTGAAGTCATCTGCTAAAAGCTTGTTAAATGCTTTATCAGAAGTTTTCCTCAATTCTACAAAAGATGATGGTGGTTGTTTACAGGTACTGAAACTGTTAAATTGGTATTTGATAATAGTTGCAACAATTTCCCTGAATGTATTCTGAAATTACATAAAAATAAAATTATAGTTTGCCACTCTGTGTGGTGAACATCTATTACTGTAACATGTTAAAATTAAAATGGTGTTGTGCATTACTTTATCCATTTAGGAACTGACTAAGTGCTCTGAGTTCACTATTATATGATAATTAAGTTGGCCCTTTATTATTACATTTAGTTGTGCAAGAATTTTACAGTGATGATTTTGCTCCTTTACAGCACACAATTGGTGATATTGCTGCCATAGGAGATAAAGCAATGGTGTCCAGCTTATTTGTATTCAGAATGAAGGAACTTCGTAAACGCACTAAAGAGGCCAGCAATGTGGACAATTTTAGAAGTTTTAGTTCTATGCAGATTGATGGGCCATTAAATAATAAGTCTCTATCAGTTGTCAGGTGTTGATATTCATCTATTTCTCTCTACTCTGTCTGAATTGTTTTACGGAACTTGGCATATTTATGTAGCTCGTCGTGTCTGCATTTTACTCGAACTATCTTATTTTTTGTGTTTAGTGTAAGCATTTATTTCGTAGTTTCTTATTCCAGGGCGCGGTATATTGATTTGGCAGTTTCACTGTTGCCTGGTCTAAATGCTAAAGAGATTAATACATTATTTCTTGCAATAAAGCCAGCATTGCAGGTTTGACTGAGATAGTGTGCTTAAATTTTTCTTTACTAAGATTTTCCCCAACTCTTTTACTCGCCATTATGTTTGGAAGATTATAGTGGTTGTTATTGTTTGCAGGATCTCGAAGGTGTCATGCAGAAGAAGGCATACAAAGGACTTTCAATAATTCTCAAGGTATTCCCCTACTTTTTATTTGATTTTTCTCGTGAGGATTAGTTTCAAAATGTTACATTTATGTAGAGTATTCAATTTTCATAGGCATTCATGCTCTAAACAAGTATAGTTGCTTGGATTTTTTAACTAGTTTACTAGTCTGATGTTTTAGTTGTTGAAGTGATCATCAATGTTGTCATTACTTATAAGTTGTCTTTTATTGGAAAGTTCATTTAAAAAGTGGTGTTTGCTCTGCTGATCATGTTGGTAAAATATTTCAGCTTATGGATTTTTTATTTGGATTGGTCTTGACTCTTGACAGAGCTCAGATAGTTTTATTTCGTCAAATTTTGAGGAACTGCTTGGACTTATGCTTGAAATTCTTCCTTCGTGCCATATTTCGGGCAAACATCACAGACTTGATTGCCTTTACTTCTTAATAGTCCATGTGTCAAAGTCAAAGGTAAAGCCTGGTTTACTTCTTCTTTGTTTTTTACCTTGAGGCATTTATGTTGTGGCACAGTATGTTGTAGAATATTAACATATCAAGTGTCAGCTTATAGAATCTGAAATTTTGCAATGCCAACAGGATAATATGGATAACAGATGGCGAGAAATTGTTGGTTCTTTCCTTACTGAAATAGTACTTGCTTTGAAAGAGGTAATGTGATGTTAATTGTGGAAACTTCCAATTCATGCAGTTTTCTTTGCCTTTTATACTGCATAACAATTTTCTTTCAAATAAATGGTTCAGTTTGCAGTGTCTTCTTTTGTCTCCATCATTTCTTGGGCTGGCAAATTTTGAGTTGGGTGGGGTGGGGGGTTGGATTTTGCTGTGACCTTTCTTCACCCAAACTAGTTTTTTTTCATAGTTTTTAACAGTGCATTGTTGTGCATATATTAGCACGGTGCACAGGGCAGCCAATTTTAAAAAAAAAAAAACATAACCTCCTAGATTTTAACGTTTGTGTTGTTGCCTGTGTAAGGCACATAAAATTTGCAATTCACTGTAGCATTGTGCACATACCATGTGCTATAGTTAAACAACAGCATTAAGTGATGAATGAAGTCATAAACATAGGTACCTATGATACCATAAGGGCCTTAATGTCAGTGATCTGTGCTTATCAAACAGACCCATTGTCCTGTGATTCCACCATGCACTGACTGCTCTGAATATGCGATGTCTTTTTCTGTCTTTAATTCTGGTACTGTATACTTGTCCTTGAATATATCGAGGCTAGAGCTTTAGCATTCTACTAGCTCAATATATGAGTAGGGGTTTTTTTATGTAATTTTTTTTCTGGTTCTTTAAGTTCTGATCAATGGCAAGTTAGATGCTGGTACACCTGAGCTTTTGTAGCATCTTCTTGGTTTTGTAAGTTCCAACCAGGCGGCCAATGGAAAGACAGTGTTGCCTTTTTTAGATTAAGAAGGCTGGTCAGCCCTGTCTGCCACCAGTCAATTTGTTGTTGTGACTTGTAGGGTAACTGCTATGAGTATGACCAGTGGCAGTTAGAAGGCCAGTAGAGGTGATAATAGTGTGCTTAAAGATGTTTAGCATGTCCCTTACTTTTTGTTGTTGATAGTTTCTGAGTTCACTTCATAAGGTTGCTTTGGTGCTAAATGTGAGGTTATTCCTGCAGGCTAATAAAAAAACTAGGAACAGGGCTTATAACATTCTCGTCCAAATTGGACATGCATTTGGGGATGAGGAGATAGGTGGGAACCGAGAAAATTTGTATCAATTTTTTAACATGGTAAACATCTAATTTTGTGTTTGTGCTTTACATTTATTGGTTAATTAATGTAATTAATCAATACCATCCCACTTCCTTCATGTGATTTGATATAATCTTGAACTCATCATGCTTAAATGTGCATGATTTGTAAGATGCCTATAGAATAATTTGATTGTGTGCTGTTTTATAATATCAGGTTGCTGGAGGCTTGGCTGGCGATACTCCACATATGATTAGTGCAGCAGCCAGAGGTCTAGCTCGTTTGTCTTATGAGTTCTCTGACCTTGTTTTACCTGCTTTCAATTGGCTCCCATCCACATTTCTCCTGCTCCAGAGAAAAAATAAGGAGATAATTAAGGTTCTTTCCTTTTTTATTTTGTCGGTTAAATGCATTGCTGACATAACTGAAGTTATTTCTTTTACCTCCTGAATTAAATGTGTTTTTGTCACTTGTTGCAGGCTAATCTTGGTTTATTGAAGGTATTAGTAGCCAAATCACAGGCAGAAGGATTACTAGTGCACCTGAAGATCATGGTGGAAGGTTTGTTAAAGTGGCAAGATAACACCAAAAATCATTTTAAAGCGAAGGTTGCTATTTTGGTTGTCTTATGTGATTTTTTAACACAATTTCATCTATCTGTGCCGATATCTGTTTTAGAATTGAGCTACTTGTTCATATTGTGAACACTGAGATTCAATTTCCTTTCAGGTGAAAAATCTTGTGGAAATGCTTGTCACCAAGTGTGGATTGGAGGCTGTTAAGGCTGTCATGCCTGAAGATCATATGAAACTTCTTTCCAACATACGCAAGGTCTGTTGACAGCATTCCACAATATAGTTTACAGATTATTCTCTGGGTTTTGAATATCATTTTTTATTCAGATAAAGGAACGAAAAGAGAGGAAACATGATGCTAAATCTGAGGAAAGTAGATCTCATTTTTCAAAAGCAACTACATCCAGGTAACAATTATGTATTTATATCCCACTGGCAAGCTAAGAAAGTGACACGGTAAAGGTTTTCAGTATGGCCCACCAGTAATCTTGATATGGCACCGTGAATTCTGCATTGTAGAGTGATTAAGTTCTGTGATTATTCTTATTATGATTTTAATATTATGCATTATCGTAGACCTGATCATTTTAAAAAAATACTGTGCCATGTTGAAATTACAAGTAATTTCTTATGCTTGCTTCATTTAATTTATTTTCAGGCAAAGTACCTGGAATCATACAAAGCTTTTTTCAGACTTCGATGAAGATAGTGGCGGCAGTGATTCAGGATACCTGAATGGCAGGACGATTTCTAGAAGGGGCAAGTCTTTACATTTGAAATCAGCAGCTTCTTCATTTCGGTAAGCTGTGGGTTTTGTTCATTATTCTCACGGCCAGCTGGATTCTCTTGCTTCAATTAGATAATTGTAATATAAGGAGCACTGACTCTTGTTCTTGGATTTACAGCTGGTTTCAATTTGTCGGGAAAAATTAAGAGTGATAAAAAAACTGTGATTTAACAATCACGTGAGCTTGAACTTATCCTAGCAATAAATATTTCTTTGAAAATCAATTTCGTAAGAGTGTGGTTGCTTGTTCTATATAGGTCAAAAAATATCAGACCAAAGAAGAATTTGCATGAGCACTTCTCTGACCAATCAGATGATGAGCCACTTGATTTACTGGATCAGCAGAAAACAAGGTCAGCCCTTAGATCCTCAGATTATCTTAAAAGAAAATCAAGGTCAGATGATGAGATAGAGCTAGATTCCGAAGGACGGTTGATTATATGCGAGGAAGAGGAAAGAAGGAAGGTAAAGCCTGACACCGATTTTGATATTGGGAGTGAGCGTGATAGTCACTTGTCTGCGAAGTCAGGAACTAAAACACAAAAGCGGAGAAAAACATTGGAGTCTGGGTGGGCTTACACCGGGAAGGAATACTCTAGCAAAAAAGCAGGGGGAGACGTGAAGAGGAAGGACAAGCTTGAACCTTATGCATATTGGCCACTTGATCGGAAAATGATGAGCCGTCGACCTCAACAGCGGGCTGCCGCTAGAAAAGGCATGACTAGTGTTGTAAGGATGACAAAGAAGCTTGAAGGCAAGAGTGCCTCTGATGTGCTTTCCGTAAAGGGTTTGAAACTAAAAAGGACTCAAAAGAAAGGTAGCAAGAAAAATAAAATGTGAGGAATGCGGGATTTGATTGTTAGATCATGTTTTGCTGTATATAGATTATCATTAGTTGTTTGCATTGTTATATCATTATATCTTCAACTAATTATTTTTTATTCTTGTGATTGCACAATCCATCTTACAAAATACTGGTAAGTTATATTATATCTTCAACTTTTTCATTATGTGTGTTTGATGTCTTCATGATTCCAATTGAAGCAATTTCCACTTCAAATTTGTCTGTAAATTATTTAATATGGTCAAACATTATGATGCACTCTCAATTTGTTTCATTTTTCATGAAATGAAAAGAATGTTCTTTGAAAATGAGACTCTACTTTGGGATAGTTTAATTGAAGATGGAGTAACGGGGCAGCTGAAAATGTGTGTTTACCATAAAGCACCAACCTTTGAGTGATGTGCTTGCGGACAAGCTCTCTTCTCATTCCCTTGCAAGGTATGGTATGGCTTGTGCCACTAGTTTATATTCATCTTTTGCTGTATCTTTGCCCACCCCTAATCAAAAAAAGGATTTTATCTCTCTTACTTTTATGTATTTATTACAAAAAATATATGATTCTTGACTAAAACACATTTTCATCTCAAATATTTGTTAAAATATTATTTATTTTTTAGCATTTTTTGACTAATTTTTTTAGGCACTTTAATCCTTACCAAAAACTATTTTGAATCATATTCATGATCTTTAAGGGCTAGTTTGAATTGATATATACAAAATTTTAAGAATATAAGTGTATTTTGGGTGAAAGATACAAAAAAAATTACATTTGTGACTTTTCATGATTTGTAAAGTTTAATTGGCAGCATATACTCCCTCCCACCCATTTTAGATTCTATAATAACATTTTATAAACTTAACAATATGTTGTCAGCTAAAAATCCATAAAACTCGTAACATAGTAGACAGTGTATAAACTCCAACAAAAAAATGTGAAGTCAGGTCAAAAACTATGTATTGTCTTGATCATATTCTTCCTTGTACATGGGTATAAAACAAAAGACTTATCACCTCCCTTTAAGGGTTACATCAAAGTGGGTCAACTCCAACTGTAACTATTCATGGCATGATAGGATTTTATGTGGTGGATAGACTCTAAATAATGTTCTGTTTCTATTAAGTATTAACAATGTTTCTCTTCAGTAACTGTTCCAACCAAATAATCCAAACCCGTACATATATTCAGCCACCAAAAGAGTATGCAATACATTGCCTGGGTTGACACTCAGCAACTGCAAGAAAACACACTGATTCAATCACAATGGAGCAGGGGGGGAAATAGTCTTGTTAACAAGTGGCCCTTGCTTAAGGAATCAAAAGATTAAAGTTGCTAATGAAAATCAGAGATTTTAATTTTTTTAAAATATTTACAAACTTTTTGTCTTTGATTCCTTAATTAGTTCCAGCATTGCATAACATTTCCATAAATGAAGGTCAATATAACCTCCTTTTTAGGAGCTTACCTTCTTTACAAAGATATAGTAATGTATGTAACACCGTGTGACATCTATCACTTATAAGGGGCAAATATGATTGAAGAATTGTGACCCCCAAAACCAAATGAATTAGATAAGGCAACCTTGATATCTAATCTTTCTTTGGTTGGACCCACAAGTACTTTAGCATCCTGAATTTTGTTCAAATAACCAGATTAGATAGTTTTCAACCCTATAAATGATATGACACAACACACTTCTAACAAAGCCAAATTTTTTTGCAAAAGGTAACATACCACTCCTTTGTCTGGATTTTCTAGATTGATATTGGGATGAACCCAACCTGTCTTAATTGCCTACATAGAGAATAAAAAAGCTCACAAATTTTTATACATAAAACTTTCAAAATTACATAAGCAAGTATTGCATTAGTTTCAACCTGTATTGTTGCTACAGCTTCCACAGCACCAGCTGCCCCTAGTAGATGGCCAATCATAGATTTTGTAGAATTCACTCTTATCTGTATAAACAAGCGATTTCGATAAGCGTGACAATATGATAAGCAACAGCATCAATTAAAACAATTAAAAGAGCAAGAAATCATAATTACCATATAATGTTGTACCAAGAGATAATAGTACTAGTAACAACAAATGTTTACCTCCGGGTTTTGACCAAAACAATGAATCAGAGCCTGGTACTCCTTCAGATCTCCAGCTGGTGTAGATGTAGCATGTGCATTTATGTAATTCACATCCTCTTTTGATATTCCAGACTCAGCTAAGGCTTTTTCAATGCAAAGTATAACACCGGCCCCTGTTTGAGATGAAATAAGATACATACGTGCAAGATTAGTCCCGGAATGCTCTGGGGAGGAAACAAGAGCTGAAGGTTGTTATATTCGTCCCACTTCGCTTCCTCCCTATCTAGAGGACATTACATGCACAATTTGAAGAAGCAATGGCATTACGAAAACTTAGGCGTCCATAAGAACAAAAGTGTCGAACCATGGCATTGATCAATAAAAGCTAAACTAAAAATATGCTGATTTAAGCTACTGTATTATTATTAGAAATGAATTTCAATAAGAAAGCAAATAAATATCAACCATGAAAAATGCCATAATTATACAAGAATATAAATACATTCGATATGAACACATCCACTTGTCTTATTTCAAAACTAGATCATGCATTGCTCATCAAGAGATAACAAAGGTGATTACGAATGACAAATGAGTTACGTTTTCAAGATTATATGAAAAAAGGGCTTTAAAGGTTTAATATTTTACCATCAGGGCATGGCTCCGTCACATGATATGCATCAGAGGTGAAGCTTCCACCAAGGAATTCTGCATATATATTTGCACCCCTTTTCTGCAATGCCAAAAATTGGATGACTCTGTATTACTCGAGTTATATTGCAAAAGCAATAAATGTTTTCGGCATACTGATGATATTAATGTGAAATATAAATTTGGGCAAATCGAGATAGAACATTTTATACTGCTGGAAAGAACTACGGGTGATGAAAATGCAATACATTATTATATGCATAAGCATGCAGTAATATTAAGGACAGGGTGCATTTGGCTCTAAAGTTATTAGATCAAACTACAAGTACCTTAGCATGTTCCAATTCTTCTAAAAGTAAAACTCCAGCCCCTTCTCCCATGACAAATCCATCACGATCCTGTAATATCATAAATGCAACCTTATAGTCAGCAACACAAATGCAAGCATGCAATTTTTAAGTATTTTTTAAAATTTCAATCCGAGCATCCAATACTTTATCTAAATCGTCCATGTTTCACAATTATCAAATTAAGTTGCTCTGTTGGATGTCTAGGCATGCAAGACTGGCTTACTTTTGCACAACAGATTTAACAAACATTTCCATAGCACACGCTTTACATATGACTAGAAAAGACTCTCCTCATCCAAATTCAGTAGAATTATGAATATATAGATTGTTAGAAGAGAAATAATGAAAAATCAGCAATAAAAAATTGGGAAAACCCAAAGTAGCAACATCATTTCTATAGCATTACAATATCCCAGGGGCGTGAAGCTTTGGCAGGATCGGTGTTCCGCTTTGAGAGTGTACTGCAAGCCACAAAGCCTCCCAAGCCTGCGATGATTGTTGGATTGATATAAGTTTATGGCATAATCACTTAACGAAAGCCCAAAAGAATGAGTAACAAGAGGATACCAATTGGTAAAATAGCAGCATCTGAGCCACCACAAAGCATCACATCCTGCAGATAAATTTCACATTAATTGAACTTGTTAACACCCTTTCATAATATGACTGTCAATGAACTATCTTTTATGTCCAAAAAACAATTTAATGGAAAACATTAGAAGTCAACCATCCCAAGAGCAAGTACTAAAACAAAATACTTACAACATCACCTCTAATGATATGATTTGCTGCACTCAGTATACAAAAGTTACTTGTAGCACAAGCTGTAGATATAGAATAATTAGGGCCCATCCATCCCTGAATTCAATAAAAGAAATCATTGTCAGATGGACAAGACAAAAAAGTCGAGACAAAAATCAAGACACCATTATATGGTGTCCACAGTATGCCCCAAAATCTATTTAAACAGACCAGATCAATTGCAAGCATGGCAGAACCCATATTTGTTATTGCAAAAGGAACAGAAAAAGGATTCAGCTTCTTATATGATGAGATTTGTAAAACTTCAATAGCATCACTAAAAACCTGTTCAATACAAAAAAGAAACAAAATGCTCAGTAAACCAATGCCATGAGATTACATAAAATGATAAATTTCTGCCTCAGATGGGTTTGCGTTTGACAATAAATTCAATCCGCAACACGAAACAACTCCCTAAGCATACTATGATGCTTGTAGATACCCAAACTACTGAATGCAACAACAAAAGTTTATACTATTATCAAGTATTGTATCTCAACATGCAACAGAATAAATGTTACCTTCATGCCACCCATCCCTGAGCCAATCAAAACTCCACATTTCTCTTTATTTAACTCGTCCATCACATCTTTGGTAATTCCACCATCAACCAAGGCTTTCTTGCCGGCTGTTAGCATATAGAGCATAAATTTATCCATTCTCTTCGAAAGTTTCGGTGCTACCCAGCCTTCGGTTGAGAAAGACTTGATCTCACCAGCAATTCTCTGGAGACAGAGAATAATGAGAACAAAAACTATAGCGTGCAACAACGTTAAATACAATTTGAATTATATCCAACTTACCGTTGGAAAATCAGCACAATCAAAAGCCTCAATCTCGCTAATACCACTAACACCATTGAGTAAATTGTTGTAGAAGACATCTGGATCATGACCAAGTGGTGTAACCACACCTAAGCCTGTCACAACTACTCGCCTTTGTTTTGCACGAGGTTTTTTTGTTGACGTGACTTCTTGGGCAGGTTGCAAGGGTAGAGCCGTTGCTTTACCTTGAAAATTTGCAACTCCAAGGCTTGTATTAGCAATTATAAGATGAAGAATGAATTTACAGGACATAAACCATGTTCACAGGTTGGCACCTTCTACATCAATACAGCTTTGGAGATCTAAATTTCAGGCAAATGTCTATTATCATTTCAAGAAAGTAATGCCAGAAGGCAGAAGCCTTGCAACAGAATAAATATCATTCTCTTAAACAGTAGCACACATGTCATTTTTTTAAAATTTTCAAGGAATTATAATCCTAAAGGTGCA